AAAGATCATTTGATAAGGGCCTTTTCATTCGAACAGAAGAGTCTAGAGTGTAACAACTCAAATCATTCATGACAACACAATCTAATTTCCATAAATCATTGTCTAAAAAGCAAACGCCCAGCAATTGACTCAAATTATTTTTCATAAAGATCCTTATGCTTTCATCATCACCAATGAAAGCAAAACCGTCTTTTACAAGTCTTGAAGCAGAAATTAAAGACCTAGTTAAAGTAGGAACATAAAGTACATTTGAAAGTTCTAAAATAAAGCTTGACGACAACTTGAACTTGAGGTTGCCTATTGCTTCCACAGCCACTTTATTCCCATTGCCCACATGCACTTCAAAGACTTCATTACTTGTTGACATTTTTCTTGAAAATCCATGCAAGGAATTGGTAATATGCACCGAACAACCAGTGTTAAACCACCAAGTATTTGGAGGGGCTTCAACAAGTAAAATTTGAAAACAAACAAAAACATTGAAAATATTTGTACCTTTTCCTTTCTTCATTGCCCATTTTTTACGTTTCTCGCAGTCCCTTTTCAAGTGTCCATATTGTTTGCAAAAATAGCATTTCACATTCTCCAAATTTGGCCTAAAGTTTTGAGGTCCTCTAGAGGAAGATGCAACATTGGCAGTAGTAGTGGAGGTATTAAAAGGCTTAGTCTGCTTACCAGCATTTACCATAGGATTCTTACTTGCATTATAGTCAACAAGATTCACCACTGCACCCTTGCACGATTCAGCCTGCTCTCCTCTTGTGCACAGATAGAAATCATCTCATCTAGACTCCATTTCTCCTTTTGAGTATTGTATGACACCTTAAGTTGTTCAAATGACTCAGGAAGGGATGAGAAAGCCATGTGAACAACAAAGGAATCATCAATTGGTACCTCTAGATCCTTGAGCTTGGCGGCAGCCTCCACCATTTTCAGTATATGCTCCCGGACACTCGTTTTGCCATCGAACTTCTGAGAAGTCAGTGTGGTCATCAGGTTCGCCATCTCTCCTTTCTCGGACATCTTGAATTTTGCTCCAACAGTTTCAAGAAAAGCCTTAGCTTTGTCACATGATGGTATGCCACCTCTCACAGCCTCACTGATGGTCCTCTTCATGACCATGAGAGCCATTCGGTTTGACTTCTCCCATTTCTCAGACTTCAATCTTTGCTCTGTAGTGTTGTTCGCTGTCACAGCAGGTGGTTCATCCTCCCTCAGTGCAAGGTCATAGTCCATCAAGCCAAGCACGATCTCTACATCATGTCTCCACTTTTTGAAATTCCCTCCATTAAGTGGTTCAATGGAGGAAAAGCTCAGTGCATTCGCATTCACTGTCAAACCAAATAAAAGTTAAACAACATTGTAGACAATGTTACAACTATCACAGTATATGCAACACCTTTAGGCAAGATACATTACTGCAGTTTTTTATGCACATAAAACCATATGCATCCTGATTACATAGCCCTTTTAACAAATACTTAAGTTACAACACATATTTCAAATCCTTGGATAAGAAAATAGTTGGCTCAAACATTCATTAAAAACCTATGTATTGATTCACAAATCCAACCAGTTAACCCTCTTCTCTTTGGAGTAGTACGTTATCATGTCATGACTTATAAAAACACAACCATGCCACCGTCCTTATAAACAAAATTTCTTTAAAAAAAAAAACTTCACTTTGGTAAAGATTTACAAACATTTGTTTTAAATGGTTTTATCAGCATGTATCCTTCAATGATGTTAAGGTTGGAACTTAAATCATCTTAGCGCAAGATCCATTCCTGTACTTGTGATACTCAAGAAACCAAATCATCAGGAAAACGCGAAAAGACTAATAAATCAATTAAGCAAACTTCCTTATACGCATGAAAGAATCTATGAAGAGCTATTAGACGCTCTGATACCAAATGTTGGAATTTTAATATAGCCGCAAACATAGATTATGCATCAAATACTGTGATTGTAGTTCTGACTTTGTGAAGCCATTGATCGCAGGGAAGAAAAGGAAATCTTCTACTCAAGGAGGACCTGATGTTCTTTCTAGAATAGGGCTAGATTTTCTGATATATGAACGTGTTCCTCTTGAGCAGGGACTTATCCTTTTATAAACGTGTAACCACAACCGTTTCCACGTATCACAGAAACTGCTTGGCAAAAATGCACGCTCATTTACATTCCAACGTGGGATATCCACTCACCAACACGTTTAACCCTTAATGTCCTACTTTAAAGGAAAGAAGTTTATTTACCTATTAACTCTAACTGTTCTCAGTTTTCATTAAACACAAAACCCGAATGAGATAAGTTTAGAGTCCAATAAGGTTCCAATATGGGCTGCATACTTGTTGAACTTTGCTCGGTAAGTACCATTGAGTTCATATGGAACCATCATCTATAGTTGAGTCGGTTTTATTTAAATTTCAAAGAAAGTTTTTTTTTATTGCCTAGGGAGTGTCCTAGCTTTTTTGTTTACATTGTTTTTCCTCCTATATTTTCTTTTAACAGGGTGAGGCCCTTTTCAAACACATGAAAACTTGGAGCATCTTGCCATGATGGAGAGGGTTTTGGGGCCACTACCACAACATGTGGTGGTTAAAGCCGAGTAAGTTTCATAATGCACATAGTCCTCCATTGTTTTGTAGGTTGTGGAGCTCATATACTGTGCTGATAAATATTTTAGAAGGGGAGCATGAATAGATTGGCCTGACGGAATAGACTTGAGATACTGTCACAATGACAGTGTCTATCAGGACGGAGGATTAGGTATTTGAATCTATTAATGTACACTTACAAGTTGCTGACCAGCTCCTATAGACTGTAAGGGCTCATTCTCTTTCAAACCTCCACTATATAGCTGTAAAAATTAGTTTCGTAGCAGTGTTATAAAGACAATTAAAACATTTTCCATTGAACTATTGTTTGATGATTGGCTGAATTTGATATATATTTATTTTTCACAAAATTTTGTTTGCAAGAGTAAATGCTTTTTTAATTATGTTGAAAATCATCCGCGTTTTCAGTGGCAAGTGATAAATTGTACTAGTAAATAGTGTTTCTGTTCAACTATTTTCTCTCGTCTTGATATAGCTTAGAAGAGTAGTATTATTTGTAGTAAAAAAAAAATAAATTAAAAAACACAAAAGGAGTTGGCAGTGACAAACCGTGAATCAACAGCAGAGCGGATCATGTCCTTATCATTCGTAGCTGTAATTGCACTAACAAGTATATCATATTATACCAAATCGGTGTAGCTTAAATGATATCTTGACCCTCGCATAGAAGATTAAAGTCGACAAAGCAATCATGTGACAATGCCATTGGATGATATTCTAAGACACAACTTGGAAGGGATTTGTTTTGTTTAAAAAGGAACAGTTGGTGACTTTATCAAGAAATTTAATAAAAACTATTTCATTTGACGTGCTATGCAGTTAAGAATGATTTATATACTTTGGTGTGGGACAAGGAGGATTTCATGTTCTGTCAAATGCTTTTAATTAGAGTTTCACTTAAATATTCTCTTAGAGTTTAAATCCCACATAGGAGAAACAAGAGGTTTTGTAACTGTATTGCCTACTTCTCTTATTATTATGATAGAACCTCAACTTCTTTCAAGAAATTAAATGAGAAATTACTAATTGAGCGGTAGAGTGTACTCTTTTGGAGGAAACCAGATCATTTTTCATTTTCTTTGTTAATTTTTTATATCAGTACAAGTATTGGCTTTTGCATCCTTAATTTCATGTTTGGGTGGAGGAAGATCATCCTTTTTCTATATGGTGTTTTATCATCTATGTACTCTGATCTGTTGGCTCCATATTAATAAACAATGGAGTTTGCCTTTTAAGAAAGGAGAAAAAAAAGAGAAGAGAACGTATTTTATTTAGATACGTCTGCCTTACTAATTCTACGGGTGCTTGGATTTTTTCACATTTCAAGTGAATTAAAATTCATCAAATATATGATTGTGCAAATCACATGCCACTCCCATGCATCTGAAATATCTTCTGCAATGAATCCCATGAAACGATATATTTTTATGGATTATCCATATTCGATAACCATGCAAACAAGCAAACAAAACTATCTGAATACAAAGAGACAAATAAAATGCAAAAGAGTACAAAAGGCACCGATCGAAATGCTTAATAAAACAGCAAGAGCGAGTTCAGTAGTAAAAATATCGATCAGATAGCTCTTCTTCCGCTATGTGCCCATAAAATTGTCAGTAGTTATAATATAAACGTTACTGTGAATTCTATCCAATTACTTGCCATACTTTTCTACTGTATGGCTGCTTGGCAAGATAAGTCTTTAGATACTTATATTATCTAATTGTGATATTACGTTGTTAGACTTAGAGGATAATGTATTGTGGTGAACCAAAACAACATGTAATATATATAACATGACAAGTGAATATTTTTCATACTATGATAATAGCAACAAGGTGAACATACTTATTTTTATGACAATATGTCATGAAATCTAGCATCATGTTCACTTTGATTACTAACTAAGAACTTTTTGAACCAATAAATATCATCTATGAGATCTGAACATATAATTTCCTGCAATTAAGCGAAATTATAGTGATGCTGCTATAACAAATGATATTATATATATGGTGACTAAGAATTTGAGATGTTTGAATCTTGAAATGCTAAGGTAACTAGGAGAGGAGGTAGAGAGTATGGGTTAATGTTGTAGGACGAAACCGGGGCTAGATTGCCTGCTGAATGAGCGTGGGGGGCACAAGGTGCAGTGGTTTAGGGTTTAGGCATGCAACAAACTATCATGTGTTGTAGGCAGAGGGACCCCACGTGTCACGTGGACAATGGCTCAGTGGCCACGTAGAAGAGACAAGCAAAGGGCTGCTTGTAGAATCTCCTCTAATCCCCTCTCCACCAATCATCGTCGTCCCCCCACGTGGGCATATGATCCCCCGCACCCAACGCCTAAGACATCACCCAAGAACTGACCTGCACTTTCTATTTGTTTATTTATACGATCCATCTTCATGATTTTTCTTTAACCTATCAGTGTTCACTTTTTATGATCATCCAGCAGCTGCCTCTTGCTTCTCGAAATCTCTCACTCTCCGGCCCCCTTCTTCTTTTGAATTCTCCTTTCAAATTCTTCGTTGTTCCACAAGTCTTCTGCAGCTGGGGTAGCAAGAACTTTATAGACATCAGTTAAAATATATCAGAATATATAAACATGGGAGACTCTGCTTCATACATCCACTTGGTAAGCCTTGTTATAATTTTTATGAAAATTCTTCTGCTTTTTCTTGATCACCAAAATGATGTATATCTTTGATTCAATATATAGGATCGATACATAAAAAACGTCACAAGGCAATTCGCGAAATTTAGTTTTTTCTCAAGTTTTTCGTAAACCAAGAGCACTTGATGACTTTTTTGAAGTGGTGTTGTTTTATTTTTTGATATTTTGTGGTGATGAAAATTAATGGTGGTGACATGCATGATTATAAATAGGTGCACCATTTAATCGAGGAGTGCATCATATTCAACATGAGCAAAGAGGAGTGCATGGAAACCCTCTCTAAGCATGCAAACATAAAACCCATCATTACCTCCACAGGTCTCTCTCTCTCTCTCTCTCTCTCTCTCTCTCTCTCTCTCTCTCTATATATATATATATATATATATATACACGTGTGTGTGTGTGTGTGTGTGCGTGCGTGCGTGCGTGCGTGCGTGTGTGTGTGTGTGTTTGTATATATATTATATGTTCTTTGAATGGGAATGAATGGTTAGCTAATTAATGGACTAACTGATTAACTGCAGTGTGGAAGGAGTTAGAGAAGGAGAACAGAGAGTTCTTTGAGGCCTACACAAAGAGCAGGGAAGCAGGATCCTCTGAGATGGTCACAAAGCAAAGAATCCAGAAGATGCTTTTTGATCTTACCCAGAGCGGCGACAACTCCACCACCACCGACGACGACGGTGATGAATCTGAATCTGATGACTAGTAGTCCCCTTGATTTTTTCTTTTTTATGCAGAAAACGATCGATAAGAGATGGCCTTTTTGGCTTTAAGTGGTATAAATCTGTAACATCAGGGAAAAAGTCGCTAAAAACGAGAGGCAAAATAACAAGTTGTCCAGGACAATACAAAGGGCAAATCCGGATGGAGCATACGACGTCGTCGTGTAGCAGTCATCAATAGTAGTTGGGAATTGTGGTTTGTAAACCCTTGAGACTTGAGACTGCCTGGGTGGCTGGGGTTAGCTACGTGGCGCACACGTGGCAGAGCCCGATGTGCCCCATTTGCCTTCATTGTGTATGTGTCTCCCCATGCAGATACTGTACTGATTTGTAAATGTAAAATTTTAGAGCTATGAATTCTGCAAATTCCTTTTTCCTCTTTTTTTTTTTTTGCTTAATTCTCAATCAAATAATTTCACTAGAAGAGAAAAATTGTACAGAAATAACTTCTCATTGTTTTTAGTTTCCCATTTTCGATTTCATGAGATATTATATAGTAAAGAGAAATAAAAAAAAGTTTGTACTTGAAACACAGTGAATTAACGAATTACTTGATCAATCTACCACTCCAAATTTTACCGTTCAGGAAGCTTTGGTTATTGGGCTATTTTAATTTCAATCTACCACTCCAAATTTTACTGTTCAGGCAGCTTTGGTTATTGGGCTATTTTATTTTCTTTCTCCTGTAAATATGTATAAATATCATGGATGCTTTGTTTGTTTTCTCCAATAACTCTGTTCGTGGGTCAATTTGAATTTCTTGCCATTGTAATTTTTCGTTTGAGTTCGGTGGAGAAAGACTGAGAGTTACATCAACGTTGTAATTGTAATAGAATCTTAGCATACCTGCGCGGCTAAGAATTTATATTTAATCTTTTCCTACAATATTATTATTAGTATTAGATTAGGGTTCCGGTCTATACTAGATACTGATGGACTTTTGTTCTTCAATTTATTATGTTTAGCGTTTAAACTCTTCTTTTTCAATGATTAGTATTAGGTTCGACTAACGTGAAGGTGAGTATGATCTGTTCGGCGTTATAGGCCCAAAATAATTCAAAATAGAGCATGTTTCTTGGGAGTGCATTAGTTGTTTCTAATGACTTACTAAGATTGACAAGTTTAGTAAAGGAAAATGGTTGCTTAAAATTTGATAATTTAGTACTACGATTTAGTGATATTTTTATTTTTACTTCATAAGAGGTTATACGTTCAACTTCTGTGGATGACGTGTTATATATTACATATGCTTCTTATATAGCCGATGTGTGGCTAGCCCAAATCTCTCACATTCCGATGTAAATAATATCGTTCTATTAGAAAAATGAATAATTTGTCTTCATTAATAGTTACTTTTAGGTTAAAACTTAAAAGTATAAATGTTTAGGCAAAAGTATAAAAAGTCAACCTCAATGCTTAACACATTAACTGCTTGTTTGGATATGCTTTCAAAATAACTGAAAGAACTTTGGTGAAAATATTTTTGGAACCTTTATATCTTAGTAAAAATGTAAGCAAATCCTAAAAAAGTACTAAAATTGTTTCCTTAAAGAAGTACATAACTGGTTCTTCTTGCAAAAAACACTTCAAGTGCTTTTGGAACCCAAAAACTTTTTTTTTTCTTTCTAAAAGCATTTTCAGGCATTTTAAAACTACATCTCCTAAATTGATGGAGATGATTTGGAAATAGTATTTTCTTTCTTCTAGTGGAAATCTAGTGGCGAAATCAGTTTGGCAGCCGAACAAATAGCCCCCAACCGACAACTGACAAAAGTTTATTGACACGGCTTAAAACGAAACTAATATTGAACTGAATTTGTGGTTTACGGGTATTCGGTTCAACCAAAAAATTTGGCCAATTCCAGGTTAGTCTGGTATGATGGTGTTGCTTATGGCTAATTTGTGGTGGTGGGTGTCTTTGAGTTGGCTGGGTCGTTGGGGCGGATTAGAGGTTGTGATGACTAAAAATACATCTTCTCTGAGCCAATATGATTACTGTTTTATTGGTTTTATAGTGGAACTCAGACTTTACTTTTGTTGCTCAAAACCAAAAACTTTACTTTCACTCGCACACTTAATTTTGATGCATAAGACCATCTCCAAAGTAGATGTCAAATATGACAAAGAGACATTCAGGTGTTCTCTAATGGATATGTCATATAATTTAATTTAATTTAATTTTTAGAGTGAAGTGTCAATTTAGTCTATGAACTTTCACCTCAGTAAAATTTAGGTCCCTGAATTATTTTTTCGGTAAAATAAGTCTCTGAATTCATTAAAAATTGTTAATTTCATCCCTATCACTATAGTCAAAGTTGTTTTATCCAAATTTTTGTTAAATTAAGTCACTTGACACACTTTAGAGTGTAATACTGTCATTTTTCTTGCCTATAAGCCCTTAACATTTCATATAGGTTACGAATCTAACGTCTAATTTATCCTTCAAAGTTAATTCCATGCACTGTTTCTTTATGTAGAATTACCAATTTACCCTTCATTGTGTATCACATGCAAGTAACATGATTTAAATTGACGAAAAAAATTGAGTATAGTAACTTTGAATCTAATATTAATGATGTAATTGACAGATTTTTATAATTTGATGACTGATTTCTCTGAAAAAATAGTTTAGTGATCTAATTTTCACTCAGATGATAATTCAAGGACTAAATTGGCAATTCATCATAATTTTAATGCATGGGTCACGTTAACAACCAATAGAATAAAAGCTATAATAAAATAAATATTTGATGTATCCATTATAAAAAAGAGAAAAAAAGAACAAAAAAGAAAAAGAAAAGAAGATTTAACATTTGTAGCGACATGGCTGGTGCTGGTTTTGTAGTAAGAAATGAAGATGGCATTGTGTTGGGAGGGGGTGCTTTCAACTTAGACGGTGCAACTATAAATGAAGTGGAGGAAAAAGCTTTGAAGGAGGGCCATCCTATATCAGGAGGAAAGGGTTTAAAAAGGTCTTTGTTGAAGTCAAACCTTATTGTTGGGGAGCTTCAAGGCATTTTTCAGCCTCCGTGGAACCTTCGCTTGTTTTGAAGATATTAGATGGCTTACTTCATCTTGTTTGGACGTGAGATGGAATCATATTTTTAGAGAAGTTAATTTTCTTGCTGATGCCTTTGCAAAATAGGGACTTCTAATTAGGAATAGCCATTTTTGGTAGTATTGTATTCCTTCCTTTGCTCGTCCGACCTATAATTTAGACTCTATGAACGGTGGTTGTATCCGTGGTTTCTTATTTTAATACATTTATTTCGTATCAACAAAAAAATATATTCAATTTTGACCACATCAACTATCAAATTAAATTTTGCATATCATATTTGACATGCTATTAGGAAAGCTAAAAAGCCCACATCAAAACAGAGAAAGCCCATGCTAGTTTCCAGCGAACCCACTTCAAAACCCAAACAAAAAGGAAAAACAAAAGTTCAACCCAATCCCGAGTTTTGAAATTCCAGCCCAACAAAAAGCCCAGCTGAAAGCTCACACCGGGAGTACCTTTAGCTGAATGTCGAATTCCTCTCGGCATTTCTCCTGTCGCCTATTTCCCTTCCCACTCCTCCGTCATCTCTTCTACTTCTCTCACCCCATTGCAGGGTTCTACAAAACCCTAATTCTCTCTCAATCTATGGAGTCTCTCGCCAAACTTCACCACCGTCACCAACCCCTCACCCTCTCGCTCAATTCCCACTGTCCATCGTTCCCAAAACCCCTTTCTTCCTTCAGACCCCCGCGCCAATCGCCGCCCTTCAACTTCACCACCCTCACTGTCAGAGCCTCATCCACATCGCTTCCGCCGTCCTCCGACCTCCCACCTCACCGAAACCTCCAAAACCCTAATCCCATTTCCTCTTTCAAAGCCTTAGCCCCTCTCGCCGCCCCTATCATCAAGACGACCTGCGCCGCCATCGCTGCCGCCGCATTCTTCTTCATGAGGTTCAATCACCGAACCGCTATGGCCGCCACCGCAGTCGCATCTTCCACGGTTGAGCCAGTGGAACAAGAATCATCCACTGACAGAGTTCCGAATGAAGAGAAGGAAAGGGTACTTGAAGAGCATTTGGCCCGGAACCCGGATGATGTCGAAGCTCTCAGGAATTTAATGGAGGTCAGGATCAAGTCCCACAAGCTGACCGAAGCGATTCAGGTGTTGGAGCGCTTGATCGAGCTGGAACCCGAAGATTTCGAGTGGCAATTGCTGAAGGCCAATGTTCACAGCTACATGGGTGAGGTCGAACTCGCTAACGCTGAGTTCGAGGACATTTTGGCGAAAGACCCTTTCAAAGTAGAGGCCTTTCATGGCCTTGTAATGTGCGCTTCGCAACCACCGGAGAAATTGAAGAGTGTGACGAAGAGGGTGGAGGAGGCAATGATGAAGTGTAAGAAGGAAGGGAACATGTCGGATGTGAGGGATTTTAAGCTGTTAGTTGCGCAAATTCGCGTGATGGAGTCAAAGTATTCGGATGCTTTGAAGCTTTATCAAGAGCTTGTGAGGGAAGAACCGAGAGACTTCAGGCCTTATCTGTGTCAAGGAATCATTTATACAATGTTGAGGAAGACTAATGAGGCTGAGAAACAGTTTGAAAAGTTCAGGAAGCTTGTTCCAAAGAACCACCCTTATAAAGAGTATTTTGATGACAATATGTTTGCGACGAAGCTTTTTGGGCAGAAGGTGGAGAGGGAGAGAGCAGCGTCGAAAGTCTGAGGGAACTGGGGTTGCTGAGTTTTAGCTCATTGTGGTGGCTGGCTTCTGTAATGTGGTGGTTGCCTCTTGGTTTCTATCTGCCTCTGTTTTTTGGTTAATGCTTTGGCTAGTAGTGTTCACTCAAACTGTAGGTAATTTTAGTAGTAGTCGTCGTAGTAAAAGTAATTTTCAGAATGTAGAGCTATCTGTGCATCAAATAGTGAAATTTAATATCTTGTGGAACCAATTTTGTCTCGATATTTGGAGTTATACCTGGAATGAAATGGTTTTTGATGTGCTGATGTTGAAACGGATAACATCCCGTATTGGTTTAATGTGTTCGTAGCTCAAGAGCATGCTTTGGTATGTCCCAGAAGGCTCATTGTACGGTGCATATAGTTAATGTAGGAATTTTTCTTTGCCAATGGGACTGCTGCAGAAGTGGTTGTCATAATCTTTGCTGATGGAAAACACTTTGATAACTGTATCCTGTAATTTAGATTAATCATACACAACAAGTTCTGGGTTTTACTTCCTCGACTCTAGTTCCGCTGCATATGATACCATCGTAAATTATATAGTATGCCCTGGATCTCAGTTCTGGTCATAACTTCTTCGACGCTATTTCAGTTCATTGATTTCCTTGGCAGGTACTACTAATACATCCTTCTTGTAACTTTCACATGGTCTGCCCTGGTTCCCAAGTATCGGTAGCAATGTCAGTTACAGTCAATATTATGCAGTCAATTTCTTCTCAGAAAAAGCCTTTAGTGCTGTTTTATTTTTCAGTATCATGTGCGGCTATTCATGTCATGCTGTGCTTGATTCAAAGTTGTTCCACATCTCGTTAAGGGTTGAACTTTGTGTGAATGTTCTTAGCATGAAAGGGTATGTGAGTGACTTAGAAATTCAAGTTTCAATAAAACTTGTCGTAGTTGATGAATTTGCTTTGGTTTATGTAATGCAAAAAATGAGCATAGTATAAGGCGGAGGAGATGTTGAGTTGTTTACAATTATATGATGATTTATATTTGTGTGTTTGTATAATTTGTTGCATATTCGGATATGGATTAAGGACTGGATTTCTTTACATCTCATTAGGGGTATTAAGCTAATGAGTCATACAATGAAGCTCTGGGAGAGAGTCATTGAGCATAGATTGAGGCAAGAGACACGGGTTTCGGACAACCAATTCGGGTTCATGCCAGGGCGCTCAACCATGGAGGCAATCTATCTCTTACGAAGATTGATGGAAAGATATAGAGATGGGAAAAAGGATTTACACATGGTCTTTATAGATTTGGAAAAAGCGTATGATAGGGTCCCAAGAGACATTCTTTGGAGGATTTTAGAGAAGAAAGGAGTACGAGTAGCATATATCCAAGCTATAAAGGATATGTATGAAGGAGCAAAGACTGCCGTAAGAACTCATGAAGGACAAACCGAAAGCTTTCCCATAACTGTAGGATTACATCAAGGCTCATCCTTAAGTCCTTACCTTTTTGCGTTGGTAATGGATGAGTTAACAGGACATATTCAAGATGATATTCCTTGGTGTATGCTTTTCGCAGACGATATAGTGTTGATAGATGAAACTCAGGAAGGGGTAAATGCAAAGCTTAACCTTTGGAGAGAAGTGTTGGAATCTAAAGGTCTTCGCCTAAGCCGATCAAAGACAGAATATATGGAGTGCAAGTTCAGTGCAAATGGAGGCCAAAACGAGTTAGGGGTGAGGATCGGAGATCAAGAAATACCAAAGAGCGACCGTTTTCGTTACCTAGGATCTATCTTGCAAAAGAACGGAGAATTAGATGGAGATCTCAACCATAGAATACAAGCTGGATGGATGAAGTGGAAGAGTGCATCCGGCGTGTTGTGTGACCGCCGTATGCCACTGAAGCTCAAGGGAAAATTTTATAGGACGGCAATAAGGCCGGCGATGCTGTATGGCACAGAATGTTGGGCGGTGAAACATCAACACGTACACAAAATGGGTGTAGCGGAGATGAGGATGCTTCGTTGGATGTGTGGGCACACGAGAAAGGATAAGATTAGGAATGAGGATATCCGGGGTAAAGTAGGAGTAGCCGAAATTGAAGGAAAGATGAGAGAAAATCGGTTACGGTGGTTTGGACATGTGCAAAGAAGGCCTACTGACGCTCCGATTAGAAGATGCGACTATGGGACAGAGGTTCAGGGCCGAAGGGGTAGAGGAAGACCTAGGAAAACTTTGGAAGAGACTCTAAGAAAAGACTTAGAGTACTTGGATCTAACGAAGGACATGACACAGGATCGAGCACAATGGCGTTCTAAGATTCATATAGCCGATCCCACTCAGTGACTTGGATTTTCCAAGTCTCCAACCGAGAAGTTTTCCTCACTCGGGAAATTAAGGGAACACTACCCCAACCTACATGCTCCACTCAGAAAGCTTCAACATACAAGCTTCAACAAAAGAAAATTCAAAGAACTTAGCGAAGAAGGCTTTGGTGTATTTAACACAATACGTTGAAATGAAGGAAAGCTTATTTATTGATATCCCCGATAAGCTACAAATATGTACATATACATGAGTCAAAATAAACACACAAGAGGGAGCCTTCACAAAGGTTGCTTAGGAGAAGTCTCAGCAGTCGGTAGAGCCCCAGAAAGAGAAGGCACCGGAGGGGGATCATTTGGAGCCTCAGTACTGGACAGAACCCTAGAAGGAGGAGGCATCAGAGGTTGATCATTTGGAGCTTCATTACGCGGTACAGCCCCAGAAGACGAAGGCAATAAATGCCTTTGGAACAAACCCACAAATCTCTGATGATCAAGTAAAACCTGACCATCAGTTTCCTTCATCTGGTCAAGCTTCCTCTTCATGTTTGTAGCATAGTCATGTGCGAGCCGGTGCAACTGTTTATTCTCATGCTTGAGCCCTCTAATCTCCTGTTTGAGACTCATCACTTCAGCCGCCAATGATTCAACTTGGCGGGTTCGAGCAAATAGGCGTTGGGCCATATTAGACACAGAACCTGCACACTGAACACTGAGAGAGCCAGCGAATCCTTAACAGCTAACTCATCAGACCGTTTGGAAAGTAGTCTGTTATCTTTGGGAGTGAGAAGGTTCCTGGCCACCACCGCAGCGGTCATATCATTCTTCATCACGGAATCCCCAACGGTAAGAGGACCAGTAGGGGAGACGAAGGATGGGCGCCATATGTTGTCTGGAGAAGGCGGGGCTGCCTCTTCAACAAGGTTCAAGTCAAAACGACGGTCGGAGGGGCCAGACATTTTCAAAGGTGTTGAAGAGAGAAGAGGTCGGACAAATCAAGATCTTAGAAGTGCAAGAATGAAGCTTCTACTGGTGGAGATTCAAGTGTGCTTTGGAACTTAATGCCAGCCCCTATAAAAATCTGCACTCGACGGAGCTTCAGAAATCGAAGAGGCGCCTGCTCAGAAATCGAAGAGGCGTTTGCTTTCTCAAAAGCTGGGCTGCTTAGAGATCACGAGGGTTGATCTCAGAAATCGAAGAGGCGTTTGCTTTCTCAAAAGTTGGGCTGCTCAAAGACCACGAAGGCCGATCTCAGAAATCGAAGAGGCGCTCGCTTTCTCAAAAGCTGGGCTCCCCAGAGACCACGAGGGCCGATCTCAGAAATCGAAGAGGCACCTACTTTTCCAGCCTTGTCAGCACCTGTCACACGCACACTCAGCTTTGCGGAAATTATGGGCATTCTGTCGAAGACTTCTGGGGAAGTAGAAAACACATGAATCTTACTGTTCAATCACCCACTTCCCACACGCAACAATAGCTCATGGGTACCACAGATAACTTTGCCAAAGTTCTCTGCCAAAGTTGAGCACGTGAAGCTTGCAGCTCCCACTACATCGCTCTGACCAAGAAGGGTAAAAGAATAGCAAAGAAACAGCACTAACAAAGTTTAGACCCATAAATTTTGAAGGTCTAGCTACCATATTATTACCCACAAGGGTAAAGGAACAGTACCACTGCTGGATAATTGGAAAGTCCCTGTGTGTCAACCTCTGTGCTTCGTGGCAAGGTAGACTAGCAAACATGCCCAACCTTTACTCACATTCGAGAAAACACTCCCAATAAGATTGCTTGCTCCAAAATCGAAGAGGCACCGTCCTCCGAATCTCGAGAGCCAGACTCCCAACATGACTACTTTCTTAAAAATCGAAGAGAGGGTAAAGGAACAGTACCATTGCTGGATAATTGGAAAGTCCCTGTGTGTCAACCTCTGTGCTTCGTGGCAAGGTAGACTAGCAAACATGCCCAACCTTTACTCACATTCGAGAAAACACTCCCAACAAGATTGCTTGCTCCAAAATCGAAGAGGCACCGCCCTCCGAATCTCGAGAGCCAGACTCCCAACATGATTACTTTCTCAAAAATCGAAGAGACACTGCTCCCCGAATCTTCGAGAGCCAGACCCCCAGCATGATTGCTTTCTCAAAAATCGATGAGGCATCGTTCTCCGAATCAATCGAAGAGGCGCTCGCTTTCTCAAAAGCTGGGCTGCTCAGAGACCACGAGGGCCGATCTCAGAAATCGAAGAGGCACCTACTTTTCTAGCCTTGTCAGCACCTGTCACACGCACACTCAGCTTTGCAGAAATTATGGGCATTCTGTCGAAGACTTCTGGTGAAGTAGAAAGCACATGAATCTTACTGTTCAATCACCCACTTCCCACACGCACAACAATAGCTCATGGGTACCACAGATAACTTTGCCAAAGTTCTCTGCCAAAGTTGAGCACGTGAAGCTTGCAGCTCCCACTACATCGCTCTGACCAAGAAAGGTAAAAGAATAGCAAAGAAACAGCACTAACAAAGTTTAGACACATAAATTTTGAAGGTCTAGCTACCATATTATTACCCACAAGGGTAAAGGAACAGTACCACTGCTGGATAATTGGAAAGTCCCTGTGTGTCAACCTCTGTGCTTCGTGGCAAGGTAGACTAGCAAACATGCCCAACCTTTACTCACATTCGAGAAAACACTCCCAACAAGATTGCTTGCTCCAAAATCGAAGAGGCACCGTCCTCCGAATCTCGAGAGCCAGACTCCCAACATGACTACTTTCTCAAAATCGAAGAGAGGGTAAAGGAACAGTACCATTGCTGGATAATTGGAAAGTCCCTGTGTGTCAACCTTTGTGCTTCGTGGCAAGGTAGACTAGCAAACATGCCCAACCTTTACTCACATTCGAGACAACACTCCCAACAAGATTGCTTGCTCCAAAATCGAAGAGGCACCGCCCTCCGAATCTCGAGAGCCAGACTCCCAACATGATTACTTCCTCAAAAATCGAAGAGACACTGCTCTCCGAATCTCGAGAGCCAGACCCCCAGCATGATTGCTTTCTCAAAAATCGAAGAGGCATCGTTCTCCGAATCTCGAGAGCCAGATACCACAGACCACTTTTTCAAAGTGCTCTGACAGAGTTAAAACATGTGAAACTGGCAGCTCCCACTACCGTGCTATGACCAAGCAGGGTAAAGGAATAGCATTACTACTTGTTGTTAGGGAGACTCCTATATATGTCGACCTCCATCCCCAACGGACAGGCAGACCTGCAAAAATGCTCAACCCTTCATCATATCTGAGAGGGCACTCCCAACGAAGCCTTTCGAAATATTCAGCTTTCTTTCCCCCCGATAATACCTCTGCAAACAAGCTATACTAGAGCAAGAATATCTCATATCATCAGGGTTAAAAGCAAGAGTATCCCATATCATGCTTTTTCCCTGTCTTTTCCTTTGGCCTTGTTTTTACCTGCAAGACAAGGAGAAAGAGAGCAATCAGTCAGCACTTGGAATCAAGCTTCCAGCCAGGAACTGACTGCCTGGAACCCCTTACCTGATTACTTACCTGGCATTGCTCTCGAGTACTCATCTTCAACATCTTATGTTTCCAGGGAAGATTCCGCATCTGCTTGAGGAACAGATAGGGCAAGTGCGAAGGATACAAGGAAGCATGTGGAGACAAGCGTAACAGCACACGTGCCGATACATCCATTACTCTGTCAAAAGCAAAAGTATCCCATATCAGCAGGGTGGAACGTACTCTAGATTTGATGGACTTGTTTTGACCCTCAAATTCTTCAGTCGGCCTTATACTACTCTGGAGGAAACCAGAAAACCCTCCAGCTCAGTTCAAGAATAAGCCTGTGGAAAGTTACTTCTTCAAAAGCAAAAGTATCTCATATCATCTCTTCTCATTTTTCTTCTCTTTATCCTTCATGCTGCTGCAAGATGGGGAGAAGGTGAACAATCAGTCGGAGCTCTGATTGCTTACCTTGTCTGTCACCTCTTTCAGCAGACCCCCTAGCTCGGCGACTTGGGGGACTCCTACTACATGGTTTGTATCGCGCTTGACCAAGCCTGAAACTACAAGTAAGCTTCAAGTGAAATTGATACATTACCTTGTGCATCTCCACCAGTTAAAGATACCACCCCTGGATGGAGGAAGAGAGTACTTCCAGAGAAGATGCCACATCTACCTATGAGACAGATAAGGCAAGTCAAGACGACACCACACTCCGATACTTAGAAGTTTCGTGATTACGAGATCATTCTCCCACAATATTTCCTAATGTCATTTGTACTAAATCATTCACTTGTACTCACTAAAGGAGAGCTTGAACCTATGTACTTGTGTAAACCCTTCACAATTAATGAGAACTCTTCTATTCCGTGGACGTAGCCAATCTGGGTGAACCACGTACATCTTGTGTTTGCTTTCCTATCTCTATCCATTTATATATACTTATCCACACTAATGACCGGAGCAATCTAGCGAAGATCACAAAAAGCGACCGTTTTCGCTACCTAGGATCTATCTTGCAAGAGAACGGAGAATTAGATGGAGATCTCAACCATAGAATACGAGCTGGATGGATGAAGTGTAAGAGTGCATCCGGCGTGTGTTGACCGTCGTAGGCCACTGAAGCTCAAGGGAAAATTTTATAGGACGGCAATAAGGCCAGCGATGTTGTATGGCACAGAATGTTGGGCGGTGAAGCATCAACACGTACACAAAATGGGTGTAGCGGAGATGAGGATGCTTCGTGGGATGTGTGGGCACACGAGAAAGGATAAGATTGGGAATGAGGATATCCGAGGTAAAGTAGGAGTAGCCGAAATTGTAGGAAAGATGAGAGAAAATCGGCTCCGATGATTTGGACATGTGCAAAGAAGGCCGACTGACGCTCCGGTTCGAAGATGTGACTACGGGACAGAGGTTCAGGGCCAAAGGGGTAGAGGAAGACCTAGGAAAACTTTGGAAGAGACTCTAAGAAAAGACTTAGAGTACTTGGATCTAACGGAGGACATGACACAAAACCGAGCGCAATGGCGTTCTAGGATTCATATAGCCGACCCCACTTAGTGGGAAAAGGCTTTGTTGTTGTTGTTGTTGTTGTTGTTGTTGTACTGCAATATTGTTCTTTCTAATGTCATGGCGAGTCTGTATGCTTTATACTTTCTTACGTAATGGAAGACAATATTTTCTGTTCCCTTATGACTCTCGGGCGTGATAGTTAATGGTTGATTACCTGAGGACTGGCGTAAGAGACAATCTCTTTCGTTATTGTGCTCAATTTTTGCAGTGAGCAGATAGGCAGCAAAAATGCATATGATTATATCTGATTTGAACTGTTTTTAATGAAGTAGCAAGTGAATCAAAGTAGATGTTGGACTGACTGACTGTTTTTTAACTTGTGGTTAACGGTGCGCGATGTCTACCCAGCTGGTGCAGAAACGAAGACAGTTTTGCAGATGGAAAAGTTTGTATACATTCTTACTGCATCCAGGTGATTTCCAACCAACATAATGCTTCTCTCTTCTCCCCCCCTTTTACTGCGGTTATTCGATCCAAGAGGGATCGAGTAGCAGCAGGTTCTCTCCCTGTTACTCATATCACCCAGTATGATTTATTAGTAACCTTAACCTGCAGCTGCAATTGTCCTTGGAAAAAGATGGCCCACAATATAATGACGACACAATATCAAATATTTTATCAAATACGGTGGGATATTGTCAATGCACTATCTACCCGAGTCATGCGCATATCCCAGGTGCGCGGTTGAGCAAACATCCACAAGATTAATGGAAGGGAGCTAAACTAAAGCCGAATTGGCCCCTTAGTCCATCTCCAACCGAAAGGGCTAACCATAGTTCCGCCTCAAAATTATAGGCTTACAAAAAATTATTTTTAAATGACTAGTGTCAGGGACATATATGTCGTCTCCAATCGAAGGGGCTAATCTTATACTATAAATTCATTAGTTGATTTAATTAAATTACCGTTTGAAGTTTTTGAATCTAACCGAAAAAGGGCTAAGAGGGGGAGGGGTTACATTTTACTAGCTTGATGTTTCTTCGGCCAAATAATGGTTTAATGGGCTTTATATAATTATAATCTAGTCATCGGTTGAAGATGAATTTTTGAGCAAATCAGGTTATTTTTTGGCTTTTAGATGTTTAGCCCTCTTCATTAGAGATGGTTTTCCATTAGAGAAGGTTTTAGACGATCTCCAATGAAGAGGGCTAAAAGATCAAAATGTGGCCTGATTTGAATAAAATTCATCTCCATCTGAAGGCTAGGTCAAAATTTAGTGGAACTCACCTGGCCAAACATGACCAAAGGGGACCAAGCTCGGCCTGATAGCCAGCCCGTTTGCTGGGGTCCATCGTAATGGTTCTCCAACTTCTGCTACTCGATGGATTGATACCGGATTGCGCGGCACGGCCCAGTAACCCTTAAGAATTGCATTTTGAATTCCGCGACTCAAACATAATGGTTCTGCAACTTCTGCTACTCGACGGAATGATACCGGATTGGCATTTGAAGGAACGAAAGGAAGGAGAAGGAAGTTGAAAAATACTTCTTACTTCATTGATGTTAAACACTTGTTCCACCAACTAGATTTAACGAAAGTAATTAATTTTTTAAATTCATTTAACAAGATACCTAATTTCATTAGTAATTGGCTTTTCAATCGGATTATTGACTGTTGGTTAGAAATAATACTCTTTTCATTTGTATAAAATTAATCAGTAAAATTAAAAATAAACTTAAAGTTAATAAATTATTGACGAGGCTATGTTTAGCCTTTTCGTTTGAAGATGTATATAAATATGACTTGACATTATTTAAAAAAAAAAATTTATTATAAGGCTATAATTCGAGACGGGACTATGTTTAGCCCATTCGGTTGGAGATGACCTTATATCTTTTAGTTTACCCCCTAGTGCACCTCAATATAATGTATTCATTATAATGTATCTTAAGCACTGTTATAAAAATTCCTGCCTAGCGCTGTCTAGGCGCTAGGCGGCTAGCCACCACCCTGATTAATGTCTAGGCATTTGAAAATTAAGAAAGGACCACTAGACCTGCTAAGGTGCCCGCCTAGGTTGCGACTCATATAGACAGAAAATAGATAAATTTCATTTTGCATATTATTTTTTTCAATAAATTGTAAGATACCTGTTGAATACTTAAATGAACACATATTATATGTTTGTTCCCCATATTTTCATTATGTTCCAATACTTCATAATATATATGTCATTCTATTTTGTAGCTTATATATATTTTACATATAAACAAACACTTATTTACACTTTGGCGCCCGCCTAGCCGCTAGATGCTAAGCTCCAGCTCGTCGCCCGACTAGCATCTAGCGTCTTTTTAAAATCTTGATTTTAAGCTCATAAATGTATTAACAAGATCTTTTATTTTCTTTATCATTATTTAAAAATCATCTTTGTAAAAAAGAATAAAATTAGGGATGGTTTAATCAACTTAAACGTATATATGGATTTGATAATAACTAGCATTCTTACTATGAACCATTCAATAGGTTGGTTTGTTGATATAGATGCTGATGATTAAAGGTAAGAAATTCACAATTTGATTATTTTTATGTAGAGATGAAAATTTCAATTGGTTAATTGGTTGACAGATGTGGATGATTAAACGTAAGCAATTGGCAATTTGATTATTTTTTATTATAGTGACGATAACACGTCAACAAATGGACAAACAAACAGAGAAAGAGGTGCAAACATGTGGCAGGCTGAAAATCTAATTTCTGTCGATTACAAACATGTGGCAGGTGCAAAGAGGTGCAAACATGTCGTCGGATAGGGCGCGGTTGTCGGATTTTAATGTCCTAAATGCGTCATTGCCAAAAGAATTTGGATCCTCTGTTGAGCAAATTACAAAGGCCGTTGAATTTTAATCAAACGGTTATAAACAGAAGGCTGCTTTAAAAGTTATAATAATTGTAGTCGTTGAATCAAAATTCAACGGTCCGTGTGATTTGCTCAGGAGGCCTGAGGCTCAGCCTCCTAAGCTGAGGAGAGGATCCAAATCCTTGCCAAAAGGAACCGGTGGAATCTCACTATTTTTGGTTCTAACAGTGATTAAATTTTTGGTTTAGTGCGTGTGTGGTTGTGATTGCCAAATTAGGAGATTATTATTAATTTTAGTTTGTGAAAATTATCTCCAGATCAATTTATTTGGTAACTGAAGATTATACTCATGTGACAATTCTTATAGTTATTGTGAACTCTTTATAATTGTGGTTCAGTAATTAAATTTTATTATCGTTTCTTGTCAAAAAAAAAAAAAAAAAAACAAACAAACAAACAGTTATGGCCTTGCAGTCATTCATAAGATATCTTCTTTTTTCATTCTTGTAAATCACACTTTACTATAGTCTAAAGGATAAAATTTTGGCTAAAAATGATAAATACTCGTTATTATTATTTAATTGATATTTTTAAGCAATAAATAAGCACTAAATTAAACCTAGTATTGGTAAACACATACATACATTAATTTCTTGAAGGCTAATACTAGAGGCATGAAAATTTTAAACCAAATTTTGAAAACTGTATGATGTGATTGTTGATGATTGGATTATTATTTAAGTGTTGATTAATGTGCTTATTTCCCATTAGTGACACATTATATGGTTTGCAAATTTGATCTACACATTACTCTTTGTTGAAAGTTAGACTTGAATTGGAATGAATGTCTAAAAACTGTAACTCACATAGCTACTAGCTAATAGTTATAAAGAAATTAACAAACAAACAGAAATTTATAAAAATTGGAAAGAATAAAAAAAGCACATAGCACTTTGAACTCATGATCTTTCTTTAATTTTAAACAACAAAAACCATTACTCCCGTTAAAAGTATTTTAACCAAATTTTATGAATTTATACTCTTATAAAAAGAAATTTGTAAAAACTTTACAGTAAAAAATGCACACTGTTATAAATATGTAAAAGTTAGAGGGATAACCTTTTTAGTAAATGAAGTGAAACAAATGTAAAATATTACACTGTAATTATAACTTAAGTAGATGACCAATAAAAGATGGAGGAATAGATGATATTATTGATCTTTCTTTCCTTCTGTATATTCTCTCTGTATGTTTTGAAAGCATACGGAGTGCTCTATTTATAGAGCAACTCCGAACTAATGCATTAACTGCACTTTGAAATTTACATCACCCATTTTGACAATACAATCTCTTGCATCTCCAAATTCAATTTCACTTTGCATGGACATTGAAAACTTCTACCAAAGTACTGTGGGCATTCACTACCCACCAGCATTTTCAACACACACAACGTTTTGAACCAGAGACCTCCTTGTTTATTTTAAATAGCATAAACCACTACTTATGGTCAAAGTTCATGATTATTTAAACAAATTTCAAAAATTTATACTCTTATAGAAAAAGAATTCGTAAAAATTGAAAAGTACATAAACACAAACACACATAGTGTTTTGAACCCAAGATCTTCTTGTTAAATTTACAAACAAAAACAACTAGTTATAGTTAAATTTCTCGGTATTTTAACCAAATTTTATAAATTTATACTCTTATTAAAGCATAAATGAATATATCACCATAATAAATTTGGTGCCCTCAATTTTTTTGGGCCTCGAACAGTCGCTATCCCAACTAGGCCTGGGCCGGCCCTGCCTGATAACAACTCGACACGTTAACGGGTTGACATAAAATCGGTTATTTTCGTGCCATTTCGTGTCGAATAATGGACCGTGTAAAAAATTGTCAGTACTAATCACACTCAACCCAGCTTGAATGTGTCCGAAGGACACAGAAGGAGCTGTGATCTAATATTCAACTCCTTATCAGACACGGCATCGATGGGTTTTCTTTCTTACGTTGTGTAACAGACTTTCCTTTTGTTTTGTAATACGGCATTCAAACAAATCACTATCATGAGATTTTCCCTTTCACATTTGTAGGCCAAGTTTGCATGTAATCCTAAAAAGCCCTGAAACCTGGTTTTTCATCACCTCTGTATTCTTCAAAGACAGCATGGAGCATTCTTGTAGTACTCTGTACTCATGGTAAAATCATTTTGTTTACGTTCTTTCGCGTGCTTATTCTTTTGTTATGCATGACCACACGTCTGGATGCCGCAATTCTGCCCAGAAATGAAACTGATCGCTTGGCGCTGCTGGACTTCAAAGACAGGATAACTCAAGATCCTCTCAATGTCATGAGCTCGTGGAACGATTCCACTGATTTCTGCAGTTGGGTTGGAGTTACATGCAACCCTTCCACCAAAAAAGTTTCGATTTTGAAACTCAACTCCAGAGAACTCGCAGGCTCTATACCAGCTTCTATAGGAAACCTCACCTACCTGACAGCAATCAACCTAACAAACAACGACTTCCATGGTGAAATTCCTCAAGAAATCGGTCGTCTACGAAGCCTGCAATATCTCAACCTATCTGGAAATTCATTCAGAGGGAAGCTTCCGGCTAATATATCTCACTGTATGGAGCTAAGCGTGCTCGATGTGAGCTCCAATGAGCTTATCGGGTCAATTCCGAACGAATTCAGTTCCTTGTTGAAATTGACTTACCTTTGGCTTGCTCGTAACAATCTCACAGGAAGCATCCCGAAATGGATATGAAACTTTTCTGCTGTGTATAGTATTTTCCTTCTTGGCAATAATTTTCACTGAAGCATACCTAATGAGCTTGGTCGTCTAAAAGGCTTGCAAGAACTGAGAATTTCCGAGAATAATTTGTCTGGTATGGTCCCTCCTTCAATTTATAATATTTCTTCTTTAAGGGGTTTGCAGTCACCCTAAACCAACTGCAAGGCGAGCTACCTCCAAATGTCGGTACTACTCTTCCAAATCTTGAAGTGTTTTACGGTCATTCAAACAAATTCGCTGGTAATTTTCCTAGCTCGTTATCAAATGCTTCTAGACTTTCGGGTATTGATTTTTCTACCAATGTCTTCACTGGGACAATCCCTGCAAGTTTTGGGAACTTGAAAAACTTAGTTAAACTAAACTTAGCTGGCAATTTACTAGGAAGTGGGAAAACTGGTGACCTGAATTTTCTTAGCTCCTTGGCCAATTGTACCATCTTGGAGGTTTTGGGTGTTTCCAATAATCATTTTGGAGGAGAATTGCCAAGATCCATAGACAACCTTTCTACCAGTCTTCAAATTCTTGCTGTAGGTGGCACTTCGATACATGGAAGCATCCCTATTGGCATTGGAAATCTTATAAACTTGACAGTTTTGGGAGCGGAAAATAGCTTTTTGAGTGGTAATCTACCCGATGAAATAAGAAAGCTTCAGAAGTTAGGGGAACTGTATTTGAGTGATAGCATGTTTTCGGGTCGAATCCCATCCTCCATTGGAAACTTGACTACATTGACAAGGCTCTACATGCACCAGAATAGTTTTGAAGGAAGCATTCCTCCAACTCTCGCAAACTGCCAAACTCTATTAGTACTTAATCTTTCTGGTAACAAATAACAGGAGCCATACCTAGAGAGCTTATTGGGCTCTCGTCCCTTTCAATCTATTTGGGCCTGGCTAACAACCAGTTAACTGGTGCACTGCCACAGGAAGTAGGTAATTTGGCCAATCTCGCGGAGCTAAATGTATCAGGAAATCAGTTATCAGGTGATATTCCAAGTGCCCTAGGCGATTGTATTATGCTGGAGCACCTACGCTTGGCAGATAACAATTTTGAAGGAACAATTCCTCAATCTCTTAAAAGTTTAAGAAGCTTGGAAGAGATGGATATTTCGAGCAATAACTTTTCTGGGCAAATTTCTGAATTTATAGGCAAGTTAAAATTTCTCAAGAATCTCAATGTTTCTAATAATAATTTCGAGGGTGAACTGCCTAAAGAAGGGATTTTTCTAAATGCAAGTGGTCTCTCAATTCTCGAAAATAGTGGGCTTTGTGGTGGCATCCCACAATTAAGTCTACCTCCATGCTCCAACTCAAAGGCTCATTCATCTCGAAAATTGCTTGCCCCAAAAGTAGTCATCCCTGTAGCTTGTGCACTTGCATTCATAATTGCTCTGTCATGCTTCGTTGTTGCTCGTTCAAGACGTAAACTTGTAACTTCACCTTCCCATAAGGATTGGAAAAGGGGTGTCTCTTACTCGGAACTTGTTGAATCAACTAATGGGTTCTCCATGGACAATCTTATTGTTACGGGAAGTTTTGGTTCAGTTTACAAAGGCATAATCCCTAGTGATGGAACTGTAGTTGCAGTTAAGGTATTGAACCTTCAACAAGAAGGAGCTTCCAGGAGTTTCATCCGTGAATGTAATGCTTTAAGAAGTATAAGGCATTGTAATCTTCTCAAGATCATAACTACCTGCTCAAGCACTGACAATCGGGGCAATGACTTCAAAAGTTTAGTTTTTAAGTACATGGTAAATGGAAGTCTTGATGCGTGGCTGCATCCAATAGATGAGCACTCTCAGAGTAAGAGATTGAGCCTCATACAAAGACTCAATATTGCAATTGATATTGCTTCAGCATTGGATTACCTCCACCACCGTTGCAATACGTCGATTGTTCATTGTGATCTAAAGCCTAGTAATGTTCTACTTGATGAAGATATGGTGGCTCATGTTGCTGACTTTGGTTTAGCAAGGTTCCTCTTGGAAGCGACGGATAACCCCTCTCAAAGTCAAACCATGTCAGCTAGGCTAAAGGGTTCCATTGGCTACATTCCTCCAGGTACGCATTTTTGTGATTCTCAATATTTTTTTTTCTCCTAAAACCTTATTAGTAGCCCACTTAAGTCTCTATTAGTATGAAAGAAAATGGAAAAAACCTCTTTTATTTGGATAAGAAGCATCAGCGAACTCTTAAATAAGATTTTAATTTTAAACATTTGACTTGACATCCTAATGTGAGTAATGAATGACAGAGTATGGCATGGGAGGTGAAGTATCCATACTAGGAGATGTTTATAGCTTTGGGATACTGTTGCTAGAAATGTTCACGGGAAAAAGACCTACCGATGGAATGCTTGGAGATGGTATAAATATTCGCAATTTCACAGCCTTGGCAATGCCTGATCATGCCATGGACATAGTTGACCCTTCATTGCTCATTGAAGGAGAAGATGCAGATGCTAATGATGCCAGACACGAAGATGAGGTACAAGAAGAACCTACCACAAATCGCCATGACCATGGCCTTGTACAAGGAAGAAAATTGGAGGAAGGTTTGGTTTCAGTGATGCAGAATTTCATAGCCATGGGGATGCCTGATGATACCATGGACATAGTTGATCCTTCATTGCTCATTGAAGGAGAAGATGCAGATGCTAATGATGACAAATATAAAAATGAGATACAAGAAAGACCTATTACAAATCGTTATGACCGCAGCCGAGTCCAAGGAAGAAAATTGGAGGAATGTTTGGTTTTAGTGATGCAGATAGGACTCGCATGCTCTGCAATATCCCTGGGAGAGCAGATGCATATGAATGTTGTTGTCAACAAAATGAAGGCAATTAGAGACTCATTTATGAAATTATGAAGACGAGGCTAGCAGTATACGAGATTGGTCTAAGTTTCTTTTCTTAATCTCACTCTTTAGACTCTTATACATGCCAGAACATAATTTGCTAAAGATAGTATATGTATCAATGTGTATTGTATGTAAAGTTGATCTAGTATTTTATAATTATATTGTATAATAAGGGAATATTGTTTTGATCTATTTATGCTCTCTCTGTTTTGTATCGTATTACTACCAGAGAAGAGCCAGGTCTAGTATAATCCGTGTGAAAGTCATGTGATCCCCCTTGTCAGTAGGAGTGGTAAAAGTATTCCGACTAAAAGAGCTATCTTGCACTTTGAACAGTGAAATTTTTATTAACTTTTTTTTGCTGAAATTACTTTTGATGTTTTATGGCTGAAATAGTTACAATTTTGTATTAGTCTCTGTTTAAATCCAACCAGTTTCGACGATATATGACATTATCCTAATTGCAGCATAAGGGAGTCTTATAATTCTACACTATTTCAGTCCATTTTGATTTGCTTGATATATCCTAATTAATATTCCTTCATCTAATTTCGATATAGTCTGTCTGAACTCCTCAGAGTTTGTCATTTGCTTATACAGTCAATTCCTTGTCTGAAAAGTTAGTTTGTTTGCATGTAATCCTAAAAAGTCTGAAACCTGGTTTTACATCTTCTATGTATTTTATAAAAAACAACACGGGGCATTCTTGTAGTACTACATTAAGGAGTTGCAGATGAACATTTTTCGCTACCGGCAGCCAATCTCCACTGCATTGCAGGATTCCCTTGATACCTTATAAACAGTAATTATTGATTAAAAGAAACAACATTGATTAGTCGTGCAGCTTGTCTTGGTCTATGAATTGTTATGCTTCGGAAATTTGATACCAACTGATGAGTCCATGTTATACCATATATTTTACCCTAATCTTAGTTATAATTTTTTAGTTATTTTGTGAGATTTTGATACTTGGGATTATATTTCCAAGGCTAAATAGCCAAAATGGTTCCTGAGATTTGCATAACTCATCACTTTGGTCCCTAACATTTCAAATCGATAAAAGTGGTCCCTGAGATTGTCCACCATCCATCATTTTGGTCATTTCGTTAAAAACTCCGTTAAGTGTCCCAGAGCTCATGGCTGGAAGTTTGGACAATTTTCAAAACTTCGTAACTCAATCGTTTCTTAACCAAATTTGACCCATAATATATCAAAATGATGATAGAAAAGTGTAGAATAAGATTATACCTATTTGGAAGCCCAATGGCTGCCGGAGATAGCTGGAAAATAGCCTCAAAGTTGACTGGTCCGAAGGAAAACTGGAAAACACGCTGGAAACTGGGTAAACTTTAAACGTTCATAACTTCTTCAATACTCAGCGAAATCAAGTGATTCAAAATTGAAAATCATACTTCTTGATGAGACAAAGAGAATTGTACCTTTTTTGATGGCTAACTCAGGGTGGTTTGGCCGGAAAACGGCTTGAAAGTGGCTAACTCGAGACCAAAGCCACTTTCAAGCCGTTTTCTAGAAAAAGTACGACGATTTAGCCATCTAAAAAGGTACCATTCTCTTCATCTCATCTATAAGTATGATTTTCATTTTTGAATCACTTGATTGTGTTGAGTATTGAAGAAGTTATGAACGTTTAAAGTTTACCCAGTTTCCAGTGAGTTTTCCAGTTTTCCCTCGGACCAGTCAACTTTGAGGCTATTTTCAGGCCATCTCTGAAATCCATTAGGCTTCCAAATAGGTATAATCTTATTCTACACTTTCCTATCTTCATTTTGATATATTATGGGTCGAATTTGGTAAAGAAACGATTGAGTTACGAAGCTTTGAAAATTGCCCAAACTTCTGACCAAGAGCTCCGGGACACTTATTGGAGTTTTTAACGGAAGGACCAAAATGATGAATGGTGGATAATCTCAGAGACCACTTTTATCAATTTGAAATGTTAGGGACTAAAGTGATGAGTTATGCAAATCTCAGGGACCATTTTGGCTATTTAGCCTATTTCCAATGTATGACATTAGACTTCCTCTTGAGCAAAAAGTAACCAAACAGATGAATTTTGGAGTGACTCTAATTGGAGGATGTTTGTGAGTCTGTTGACTTGTTCGTGTCAAAGTTTCAAAAGTTTCTACTAAGCCGTTTGACCATGGCAAAGAAAAGACGGCCCAGTGTGCAGCTTTCTCGAATTGATGTTTCTAGATGTTTTGGGTATTTTGAAGGTCAATATGGCATATTTTGAGGAAGATTCCTTTTATGGATTTGTTACGGACGTCTCAAGATTTAAAAAGATATATTTTGGGACCAAATCGGAGTTGATTTGGTTGGTCAAAAGATAGATTTTCTCTGCTGTCCGAATTTCAGTTTAAATAGGAAACCTTTTATTTCCTAGTTATCTTATTCTATTACGTTTCCTAGTTTTTAGAAGACCTTTTCTAGGTAGGATTTTATTTTGTAGTAGTATAAATAAGGCTTATTAGCTATTAGGGGAGGGAACACATCAATTTTGGAGAACTTAGTAAGGCTTTGACGATTTGTATTTCAAGGTGTTTTCTATCTTTTTTCTATTTCAATAAAATTCCTTTTGTTGTATGGTTGTTCATAACTATTTTCCGTTTGCTAGGGCGATGCCTTGAGCCTGAGCATGAATATGTAGTTTTATTTAATTTCTTATGATAGTATGCATGCATACTTTGAATTATTAATCACTGTGTTTAAACGGTCTCTATATCTTAATGCTTAGCTACCATTAGGATGTTTAGATAAGTAATTGGGTGCAATTCGGTTGGAATACCATTGGAGGCTTGAGTATTTCTTCTTGTGATTGATAGTTGTAATTTTGCCTACGGTGAATGCCATGTCTTAGGGGTTGCATGGTTTTCAAAGGGTTTTCACAAAGCGTAATTAGTTATGCATGTTTATATTCGACAAGAATGCCATAGACGAATTGCATGTTTGATATACATTCTAGCTTGAATGCCACGAGTAGAATATGCATTAGGGAAACCTAACCTAATGTCCTTTAATAAGTAGAATATGCATCAACTAAATATAATTCATAAGTAATTGGTAAAACTACATAGGATTGTTAAGCTAGCGGCAGATCCCTAGTGTTTTTTTATCATTATCTTTTCCCTTTCAAATCAGTTTCTTGAATTAGTTTTTATTTATTTATTAAAATTCATTTTTGTTATTTTAAAATCCAGAATCTGTTGCAGTCATATTTAGAATAGGAATATGATTGTCTAAATCCTAGTGTATCTAGAGATATCTTGGAATATTCTTTTTAGTAGATATTATCCTATTGGAGTTGTAATCCTATTAGGGTAAGGATTTAACCTATCCTACTACTATAAATAAAGGCACAATGGGGTGAAATACAATACACCTCACAATTAAATCTCTCTTCTCTCTCTTATTACCGCTGGCCTCCCCCTCTTTATTCCCTTAGAATAGTTCAATCAATTAGGCCTACAACATATTATGAGCACGCTCTTACCAGAAGCTAAGGAACTGAAGGATCGTAGGAGGAGGCTTTCTTCTACAAAATTCAAAGGCTTTTATTTGTTTTTTGCCAATCAGGTACACGTAAAATAAAGTAAGATATTTAAAACGTACATGAAGCATGAAAAAATTCCTTATGATGCATGAACGGGATATATATATATATATATATATATTGTATATGTTGCATATATTTGTCAATATATATACGTTTCATGCATTACACAATTATTATTTTGCTATGTGGAATTTTTTAGTCAAAGCATATAAATAAATAAGAAGTAATTTAGGGTTTTTTCAAACCCTATAGATGTCGAAAAAAGAAGAAGAAGAAAAAACTAGGAAATATGTGGCATGGTTGCGGCTCGCCGTCATACCACTGCTGGCGCCACCGCTAAGCACCGCACTAGCCTACAACCCAGCTGCATCGAGCACACCGCAACCCTTTGGGCTTTGCTGTACCTATACGGACACAAGGCCATCAGCCTGGGAAGGGTTACCTTGGGCATGCAGCCTCTCTAACCTAAACCCAACAACTTTTGAGTTGCTAGGCTTTGTCCCGAGTCCTTGATCCACACCTGCAGCAAGCTTGTTGCTTGCTGGGTCTAACCCGTGCACAAGCCTGCCTTCAGCAAGTCCGTGTTGCTTGCTGGGCTTTGCCACCCCTCGGTCCAACTCGCCATCAGCCCTTTGCGTTGTTGGGCTTGACCTGCACAGACCTTAAACCCAGATGCCATCCTCGGTTGGGATTCCCCGCACTAACCCGTAAGTTTGATGGAAAATTTCAAATATATCAAAAACATTGTTTGGAATAGTTGTGTATTAGCGAGCAATTGTGAGTGAAAAGGTATATCCATCACCGAATGGGTGTATAGATTCTTAAAGGTTGCTATTAAATTATGAAGTGATGCATCCTTCTACTCATATAACTGATTGAGTATAGAATTGGAGGGTGACAACTGTTGATGAAACATCGTCTAAAGTTCTATAAATACAACATGAATTCAACAATCAAAATATATCTTTACTTCTTTCTTTCTTGTCTCTAAATTTCAGATTATTTCTTAAGTTGTGCAAATCTTAAGAAATAATATCAAGTAAGTTTGAGTCCATAGTATCCTGGAGACAATTTGTTTTACAACTCTTTTTGCACTAATAAAGAGCGACAAATTAGTCTTAAAGAAAGCAAATTCAATTCGTGCTTTGGCTCAATGTTCTTATTTTTCTTCTTCACTACCATCATTAAATTCATATTATTTTTTTCTAACAATTTTAAGACTAATTTGATCAATGGAGGCATTAGCAACTACCGTTCAATCAATTCAAGACATGAATCAAGATTTGGTTCGTCTCGATCGCTTCAATGGTCAATTTTTCCAACAGTGGCAACAAAAGGTTTTGTTCTTCTTTACTACCTTGAAGTTGGCCTACATTATTCAAAATGATTTTCCAACAATTCCAGAAGAAACTACGGATAAGTCGATTGCTTTGAA